CCGCCTCCCTAGCGGCCGCGCTCCTTTCCCTCCCCTTCCCCCGGGCCACCTCAGAGCCGCGCTCTGCAGAGCGGCGCCTTCGAACTGCGCGCCCAGCACCCGGGCGCTACCACCGCTCCTGCCATAGAGGGATGGATGCCCCGGTCCTGCTCCGCCCTCGCTGGGCAGCAGCGCTGCTTGCAGTGCCCTGAAAGCGAGTATATTCGATTGTAGTGGTTAGGTCGCTTTTTTTTTTCTCTTGCAGGAGCTCCCCCTACATTTCTGCCTTCTTGGTTCGGACCAAGACATGTGCTCCTGCTACACTTGACCGGCTGCAACAGGAGCCGGAGAGAGAGGCCGGGCCGCGGGGGCGGAACCTTCTTCTTCGAGAGTGCGCTAGGAGGGCCGAAGAGGGGGATGCACCGCGCGGAGAGCACATGGAGGCGGTGAGGGGGTATCGCGGCTCTTTCTGAGCGTGGGTGACTCGTTGGCGGCTCCGTGGCCTCGTTCCTTTGCTGCCGGGCAGTAGGCGAGGGAGGCCCGTTGGAGGGGGTGGGCGGCCGTTGGGGGCGCGCGGGCTTCCGTGAAGATCCCGAGGGAGCCTCAGACGGCTCCTGCTTCCCTGAGGAAGAGAGGCCTTTCAGATAATGCGTGCCTTAGACGACTTTCGTGTTAAGAAGGCCTTCTGGTTGGAAGAATTTTTAAGTATTCGGGCTTTTAAACACTGTCATTCCTTTAATGATGATAGAAAGATTATATTAAGTGTAAGTGGTAGGGGGTTTTTTTCTGATAATTTATGTTTTATTTAAAGTTGTTCCCTAAAGATTGTGGTCAGAATATACTGGTCTATAGGTTCTGCTGTTTTGTGTATGTAGTATGATTTAAAGGCAGGTGCTTTTTTTTTTTTTTTTCCTTCCCCTCTCATAATTATTGTACATTTTCATATCTCATGTTTTAGGTTTACAGATGTCTGTCTTTTGTTTGGGTGCCCTTTGACCCATGCTTAGGGAAGCCTAGTTGGTTTGGATTAAGTAGTTTTATGAAGGGAAGAATACAACTTCCACACATGGAACTTAATTGAAGTTTTATACCTGGTAACTCTTCTGTGTTTAGTTTTCTGGTGTAACATGTAGCACTTGTTCATTGCTCAAATTAAAATTAATAATCACTGGAGCCTGATATTATTGGATAGAAATAACATTCTAGCAACCTTCTGGCCATTTAAATATTGCAATAAAGTGAAGTGAAGAAAAAGCCATTTAAATATTCTGCCATGCACGCAACCATATGTCTTAAACTAAATGCACGTTAATCCCTAGTTAATCGTAACAATTTTCTATTTACTAATACTACTATTGGAGCAAAGCATGATATCTAGTGTAAAGCAGGAGAGCAGCTTTCTCTCTTTTTTTTTTTTTTTTTTTTTTGTGGGGAGGACATTCTTATAAAATTATTTGTCCCATAATTTGATGCTATGATTGTGTTAACCACTGTGGAGTGAGTAATAGTGATTTTTTTTTTTAACAGAAAAACAGCATAATTACAGATGTAACAGCTTGACACTTTGAAATGGAGAAGAAACAAGTTTTAAAACGTTTGTATGTTGGAGGACTTGGCCATACGATTTCTAAGGCTGAACTGCAAGAGAGATTTGGCATATTTGGACATGTTTTAGATACAGAAATTATTACTAGGAGAGATGAACAGGGTAACGGCTTTGCTTTTTTTGGTCTGTTGTGTGAAGTTGAATTTTTGCTTCAGAGACACTTTATTTTCAGAAATGTTTATATTGCAGTTTTAAATAATGCATTGAAATTACACAGAAGTTAACTGAATGTTTGTTTTGAGCAGGGAATCCTACAAAAACTTTTGCTTATATCACTGTCAGCATTTCTGAAACAGATTTTAGAAAATGTAAGTATATTTTTTATGGTTTCTTTAGTAACTTATATTCCTGAGTCAAATTATATCACTGATAATGTATGTTTCTTTTTGTCGGGTCAGGATATAGTCAAGGTAGAAATTAGCAGTTTCATTCTGCAATCCTATAAATTTCACTTGCTTTAGCTCTAATTTTTATGAAAGTTTACTTAGAATACTTGTAAGAAGATTTAAGTAAATTAAAAAGCTGCTTTGCGATTGGAGCAGGTGGTTTACGAAACAGTTAATTGGAGGACGTGCAGCTGGCTTGCTGCTTTTATGAAAAGTGGTAGGACTTATGCTTGAAATAGTTTAACCAGATCTATAATGCATTTAAAAACATTAAAAAGCATATTGAGTTACTAATAATATTTTATACGAAAGGACCCGCAGAAAGAGAGTTTATATAAAGTGTGCTTTGCGTATGGTAAAGAAATTTTACAGATTCAAATATAGTGGGATTGCAAAGTTACTTGCAGGATTATACACAGAGTTTTATAATCTGCAGCAGCAAAAAGTCAGGTAGCGATACCTCTACCCTAAGGCAGGAATTGGTAGTATTTAGAAATAAGAAAGCCATGAGGAAAAAGAAGGCCGTTTCAGAGTGACTAAATGCACAACACCATGATACTTAACTTCCTTAAGTTCTTAGTATAATAAGTTTCCTTCTGATTCTCCGATCTGCTAATATATTCCTTTATTTAAGCATACAAGAATTTAAGTAGAGAAGAACATGTCTTACTGTAGAAACATCTGAGCCCATATATATGAATTTTCAGATTGCTATTTGAACTAAAGCATGCAAACTTGAATTATGCTTTTGCAAGTTTTTTTTTCTTTCTCTTTTTCATTCAACCTAGCTTCTTTAGGTTAAGATGTTTGACCTTTTATGTGCAGGCTTGTGAATATTCAGTTGTGAGATCATATTAAAGTAATTTCAAACCATCATAAAGATTTAGTTTAGTCCAACATGAATATGTGTGTGTTTTTGTGTTTTTAAACATATAAATGCTAATTTTCAGTCTTCTGGTCTTACAGGCGTGTCAACTTTAAATAAAACAAAATGGAAGGGGGGGACGCTGCAGATCGAGTTGGCCAAAGAAAGTTTTTTACACAGGTATAATCAAGAACCAAATGTGTCTGTTTATTGTTACTAACGTTTAGATTTTTTGCTTCTTGTTTGTAGCACTTTGGCTGGACTTTCTTCATAGGCTATACTCTCATTTTTTTTTTCCATTTTTTTAATGATACTGGTGGACCACAGTGCAGATTAGGTGTTGCATCATGTTTTTCATCATTGTTTTGTGAAGGAATTAGTCTAATTTTTATTATAATTGATCTGCTCCTGTTAAGTGAACAGTTACTGGTGTGTGGGAAAGAGAAAGAAAGAGTCACTGCTGCTTGCACAGATGAAACTTATCACATATGATGTGCTCTTTGATAGACTTGCCGTGGAGAGAGAGGAAGCAAAGATGCAGAAGGAAAAACTGCAAAGAGATGACAAAAGAAACCTAGTAGAATCGCTGAAAGAGGCTGGAATTGTAGATTTTCACATGAAAGCAGTACCAGGTACAGAGGTGCCGGGTCATAAGGTATGGTGAGGTAGCTGCGCACAGAACTGAAACAAAACAAAAGCAGTATCGGGTACCAGCTTACCGCTTGTGGCTGCTGGGCTGTCAGGGTCTAATACGTTTGTCTGGTTAGTCAAGATACCCTTGCAGAAATAAGACTTTGAGTGAAACTGCCATTGAAGTTTAGGCAAGTAAAAAGATGTTAATTACAACAGTTAAAGTTATTTCCTGAGCACAAAACACTTTTGGAAGGTTGATAGGTAATTTGGGCTTTGGTGGAGAAGGGGACAGGGCGAAAGAATGGTGATAACGATATATGCAGTTGCTACTATTAATTCATAAGCTAGGAACTTTATATTAAAAGTTGTGTTTATGAAGCACAGAAATGGTGTTTATTTTCATTGTTTGCAAGTTGCAGAATAAGGTGTTTTTTTTTTTTTAAAGGAATCTGGCTAAATCATACAGTAGAAAAATATATAACTTAATAAAGAATAGCTAGTTGCAGACTATTCTTTATTAGTGTTCCTGTTATCAAAGAATATTTACTTCATTTTATTCCAGGATTACTTTTCTGCTTATTGTGACTTATTTTTCACTGTATTGTAACTTATTTTTCACTATATGCTCCCCATTCCTTTTTTTTTAATCTCTAATTGTTTTTATTTTTCTTTCAGAATTGGGTTGTTGGTAAATTTGGCAGAGTCTTACCTGTTCTTCGTCTTAAGAGTCAACAAAAAAATAAAATATCCTTTTCTTATTCCTAGAGCATAGATACAGTTCCCTTCTTTCTTTCTACATATAAGGAAAAAAAGGCTTTTTATTATTTTTTTTTTTTTAAGTTTTCCTGTTATTAACTCTAATGTTGTATTTAATTTACTGAGTCCTGGAACAAGTCATGCACTGAATTTGTGTGATTTGAAAGATTTTTTTCAGGTTGCCTGTCACTAGTTAAAGATTTAGG